GTATCGAAAAGCTTTCTTACTATCATATCTTCAGTAATGTTCAAATGCGCCTGTGCTGGACTGAACGAGAGTAACCACCAACTGGCATGATAGTTTATGGCAAATGTACGAAGTTCATGCTGCTAACTTCACAATTTATTTGTCACAATAAACAAAAGTACAGCTGCAATGAAAGATAAACTTGAAATAAAAATACATCTATGAAACAAAATTAAAATGTTTTTATGTACATATATAAACATGAAATCCTAGTTAAAAATAAAAATACTTGTTTATTGTTTAGGTTTATTATTTTCAGTCTTGTATATTACTTGAAACCATAAGGAGAGTACATGATTATTAAAAATAGACAAAATTTGCATTTTATGGATGATAAAAAGTTTTTAGGGATTTTAAAATAATGTACTAAAACATAAAAAGTAATAAGTTCAAATCTGGAACAAATATAAATATCATAATTTCTTATAAATACCATTTCCTAATGTAATGTTCCAAGATATTAAAGATCATGATGCAAAAAAAATTATTTTATCAAAAGTAACAGGCTTTATGTTTCTTAAACTACATGCATTTATGAAGATTCGTATGAAGTTTCCAACAATTTCATCCACTAGTTTTATTGTTGGAATGAAATATAGCAAGACTGCACTGACTACTCAGAAAGTTAGTAGCTGGTGGTCATCGGGTTAAAACCAATCAAATCATAGCCTGTAATCATGTTAATAGATAGGGAAATATGCTTCATTATTAATCAGAAAATAGTGCTGTGATCTTTTTGGATGTTGTACTAGAGAGAGGAAAGCACTTAATTTAGAATTCAAATATTTTAAAACATATACTGAACATAAAAAAATTGGCCATAGTTATGTGAATGGTTATACTTTAATAACAAATATTTTTTCTTCAGAGCTGAGCCCTCAATATGCCTAGAAGAGGAAGGTCACCATCTCCATCTAGTCGTAGCAGGTACTGTAACATTTCTGTACATTATTAAATTTTTTTGTATATAGCTGCTACATTTGTGAGGTGTTATACTTTAACAAATCATACTGTTTATAAGGAAATCAACTGTATTACTTATGGGAGCAAAGTTTCACATTCTACTAGATCACTTTGAATAATATTTCTTGCAAATTCTTAAACAGCATGTTTCAGTTGTAGTTTGTGTATGACTTTAACTTGAGTTTATGGTATAGTGTTTAGAGATTTAAACCAAAAGTTAACTACAGTAACATTTTATTGTGAATTCGGTTTCAGAAATAAATGATACATTAGGCTGTAAAATTAACCAATCAGCAATAGTACTGCTTTGCATGAGGAAAATCTAAGTATATCCTGAGTAAAGTTTTTCATTTAAAAATAAAATTAGATTTAATCTGTATCATTGTAGAATTCACAGTCATTAAAACACACTTTAAAAGGTTATTCCAAGTACTGTTGTAATGAATATGAGCATTCATAGCCTTTTATCTTAAATTTGGAGAACTGAGCCAGGGACTTTTTGCATTGGGTTAAGCTATTAATGGAAAAATTTTGAAACCAATTATTGGATGATAAAATTTTGAATATAAAAACTGGAAAAATCATTAACCCTCTCACGATGGGTGGGTCTAACTGTGCATGTCATGGTCTTTTAGAGAGTTATTTTCAAAATTTAGTTAAACTTCTTTTTGTTTATGTTATACCAGTTAGTATAGCATAAAATCATAGCTAATTAATCCATATTTTAATAATATGCAGGTTTTAAGTTCTTAATTTTATAAGGCTATATTTTAAAAAATCCTGAATTTTCCATAGTGTGAGAAATGTGACATATTTTCTCTAGGCATCCTCTCTTCGTCATTTTATTCACCACCCCTCCAATAAGTATGAAATTTAATGTAACTTACTCATTATAAAATCATCATTGCTCAGACAAACCATAATGTTTTTACCCTTCAATTTTGTTTGGCTACAGAGCCATCAAGTAGAAGATCAGACCCCACCTGTCAAATCCTCTCTTTCAGGATTTGTTAATAGTTCTCTCTTATGTTTAATTCTATATTGTGTATATAAAGCTAAGGTTTTCATCTGTCAAATGGTGTATTATATTACATTATTTTTTGAACAGAGAATTGTCAGTTTCTTAGTTAGTACAAGCTTCGTTCCTTCGGCAAAGATAATGACTAGCATGGATGAATTTGTTATGGTTTTTGTCACATAGTTAGAAAGCTAGAAAAATTGTGATAGTTAGGGGAATTGTCTGCTTTTTGCATGTTGTTATTTTATGTTCATTGATGGATTATTTAATTAAATAAAAATTATTTAGTGCATTATTCCTATTAGTATAAAAAAGTAGGGTTAAGTGTCATCGAAAGATGACAGCAAAAAAAAAGTCCCGTAAATTCTTTATTTCTTGTTTTTATTTATTTATTATTATAAAAGTAACTAAAATGTAAAATTAAGGGCCTCTTTAGGTTAGTTATGGTTAGATTAGGTAAAATGAATAATAATAATGTAATAAAAATGTTTCACGAAGCACGTACACGAGCAGCTCAGACTCTGAGTAGCTCGTAAATAATGTAATTCGATAGAATAACATAAGTTCTATGTTGTGCCCAGCATGGCCAGGTGTTTAGGGTGCTCAACTCACAATCTGCAGTTGTGGGTTCAAATCTCCGTTGCACCAAAACATGCTCACCCGTTGTCCAGGCTAGGACGCCAGTCCTACTCCCGGATACACACCTCAAAAAGAATTTGTGGAGGTGTGAGAAACACCATACGCAACTACTAGCTTTATGGTCCCCAAGTGATTTACAACTTATAAACATGAATAGTAGTAGTCAGTTGTTCAAAGGGCAATCACAGAGCAATAGAACAATAAAATATAAATATTTATACTGTTATGAGTTTTATAGCTACTTAGGATAATCAAATGTAGTTTCATGTTATAATTTGAGGTCATTCTAGAAAGAAAAAAATGGTAACTTAGTTTTTTTTTTGTGGTGGTTAGTGAGGGTTGGTTAATTTGACTAACCCCATATAGAGTTAGGGTAGATAAAATATAAAGTTTTACTGAAAACAACCATTTGAAATGTACTTAGGAGGTTTAAGAGATTACACAAATGATATTTGAGATTTTTGGGACAAAGAATAATTTTTAATCGTAACATGAAAATCACTTTGCACTTGAACTAGTAATGAAACAGACTTGATATATTCACAAACAAATCTTTAGTAAAAATACTTCATTAAAAAATCTGACTTTTTGTGTACAAAAGACTTGTAATATTTACTAAAAGTCTACCAAATTTTGTAAAGATACACGTACTGCATTAAAAGTTATAGTATAAATACTTAACGTGTGCAAGTGTGTATATGAACTTGTGTATTTTATACTGAGCCCATCTGGGATAGGGTTAATGCTCTTTGTTCCTTTTAAAGCTAATTTATATATATATATTTAACTAAAAAAATTAAGTTAAAGAAGAAATAATTGAATAGATTATAATTGTCTAAAGTTAAGGAATTTAAATACCAAGTGACTAGAAGTGAGGCCCAATTTGTTTTCCTGAAAAGTCTCCAGTTTGTAAATCGTAGAAGAGGACAGGTGTGGACTGGGAAAAATCTAGCTTTTTTCCTGTAAATTTTAAGAGTCCAGTTTGGCCCTGGAAAAGGAATAATAAACACTAAAATTGGTGAGCTCTTGGTTTTGACAATTTACATATTCATTAGCCAACAGCAAATTATTTAATCTTTCCATGGGGTTATTTTTTATAGCTAATACAGTTTCAAATAATTTCAAATCATAAAGGTTTTTAAGTTTGCATTGTGAAATAACTTTTTATTTGGTAATCTAAAATAAACATAAATGTTTTTGTTCTAATAATCAGTAATTCTAGTTTCTTTATTATTTTTAGCAGGGGGGCTCCTCTGAATCGAGCTCCAGCACCTCCAGCACAACGAGCTTCAGCACCTCCAGCACCAAGGCAATATACCCAACCAGCTAATGTACCTCAACAACAGGTTCAAACAATGCCACAGACTCAACCTCGGCAACCTGGTCTCTTAGGTCAAATGGCTACAACAGCAGCTGGTGTGGCTGTGGGATCAGCAGTGGTCAGTATAAAAAAAACTGCTGGTTAATCTAGATTGATTTTTACATGAGATCAAACAAATAATTCATTATTTTTGTTACTTTGAGCTCAGGAGTAATCCTTTTAAGTAGTTATTCAGACTAAATAGGTAAGATAATCACCAAAAAATATGCAGAGGCCAGTAAAAAATGCTTATGTAATTTATTGGGTGGCTTGACAGTGGTTAGTAGAAATTACTGTAAGATGCCTTGGGTAGCTTGACAGTGGTTATTAGAAATTATTGTATGAGGCAATGGGTGGCTTAAAAGTGGTCAGTAGAAATTATTGTATGATTTAGTGGGTGGCTTGATTGTGGTCAGAAGGGTAAGATATTGACTGATACCAAGTAGTAATGATAAGAATGATGTGATTTAGTGGGTAAAATGTCAAGCATATGTAATGTGTTTCTTAACATTGTAGGATTTGGTTTTGTTGTGTAAGTTAATATATGTGAAGTACTATAAAAAGTAAATCAGTTACTTAAGTCTCCTTAACTATGTGGGCTTTTACAAAGGAGTGAGTGCAGTGATGACTTGTGCAGGGGTCCTGAAATCAGCTGGCCATGTGAGCTGAGCTACTTCTCATGTTCATTACAGGGTACATGTGGTAACCTGTGGTGACAGGGAAGAGTGATTCTGCTATTTCTGAGCACTTTTTATTTTAATCTCCATAGTTGTTAGTCAACTGTAACACAACAATCAACCTAAATGTTTAAAAGGATATATAGGTTGTGTAACAAATGATGGGTAGTAGTAATTTGGAATTGATCACCAAGTTTAACTAAACTTGTGTGGTTACATATGTTATAGTAAAACTGAATTTACTGTGTTAATTCTGTCTTTAGTGCCAGTAGGTACATATTAAAAGTAACGTATAATGAATATACTCCATGGTCTAACATGTACTTCATTGAGTTTATTGTGTATGCAAGGTTTTCAGGTGGACAGTTTGTATACTGAACTCTTCAGCAGCTTCTTAACTCAATACAGAATCATAATGAGATTTTCACCAGACACAACACAGTTGTACTCTACCCTTTACAATACTATTAATTCATACCAATAGTGAGCTTTTCACCATACTTAAGGCATTTATAATGAACTTCCTACCAGACAATAGAATCATAATCAGTCTTTCACCTTATAGTTTTCATAGATTCATACCAAGCCTTTCCCCATACACTCAAGACACGCTGAACCATTAACCCTAGGTGTACCAGTGGGGATCAAAGTGTGCATTTCATGACCTTTTACAGTGTATCATTCAACAGGGTATTATGTATTTGATGTCAGAGTTATCAACTATTCATTTTATCCTGCCTTACATTGCCAATTTAGCAACAGTTTGTGGTACAGGAGATAAATACCAGGTACAATACACATGGATACTGAAAACAAACTGTAGATATGCATTTTGGAGGTTCTAAAGGTTATACAAATGCAATATGCAAGTTTTACAATGGACAAAAGTATTTTGATTCTTCACATGAACATCACCTTGCACTCAGACTCGTTGGAATCAGGCTGATGTCATCAAGTCACACACTTATCTTGAGTATAAATGCTTTTGTTAGAATCTGATTTTTGTGTGCAACAAATTTGTGCATTTTGTGAGAAGCTTGCCATATTTCATATGTACACATGTAGTTAATTCAGAATTATAGTTAATATTCCTTCTCCAATATGAGTTCAGTGGAATGGACCAACCCAGTGCACATTCAGTTAACCAGACACTCAACTTGGAACCATAATCAGCCTTTCACCCAGTAGTCATCATAGATTCATACCAAGCCATTAACCAGACATTCAACTCAGAATCATATTCAGCCATTTAACATGTCAGGTTTTTATGTATATATGGGCTGGGATTCTTCTACAGTAGGCGTCTGTGACTTATTGGCGATAAATTGGAACAATAAACAACAAGCACACAATCCAACTGTTTTAAAATAATATATTCAAAACAAGTCGAACGTATGTACAAAAAAATATCATACTTGTATCTAAAACTAAAATTCTCTTTTCTTGTCAAAAGTCCACTGAGGCTGATTCAATTACTTTAGAATTTGATTGACAAGACAAACTATTTTTTTTCTCTTTGTTTCTTACTGTACAATCTGCAATATATTCACTTACATTACTTCGTGGGTTACCACAGTTGTATCCCAAACTTTATATAATTGTCTCCTTTTTGTCAAAATTCACACAGACAGGATATATTACTTTAGAACATCCTTTGACAAGACAAATTATTCTCCTTATCTCTATTAAACTGTGAAACTAACTTTAAAATATCAACTGTTATGACTAATCACTCACATAGTGGCTAACTTCAAGTTTTCTAACTTTTTCTCTACTTCACTTCACTTACTTTGTACATCTTTAGTTCTTAACTTATGCTCGTGAGCCACCTATATAAATACCTTATTCACTGAGGCCTCGAAAAATACCAAAGATTCAAGTAATGCAACGTCAACAATATTAGTAAAGCATAGATAACAGTGTTATTGCAAACACAACATACAACTCTTACCATATACCTTAAAAAACATATAAGATACTGACCTATGACTTCATAAATTTTAACAATTGTGGTTATTATGTTTCAAAGCTTTTAATACCTGGAAGGAACATGTTTGTTGTTGTAAGATGGAATATACTTGAACAAATATGATTATCATTTGTCAATTATTTATTAGGGCAATATTTTCTGATGTGCTTACCATACACTGCAGTAAACTCACATTTCTGATCTGTAAAAACAATTGCACATAATAACAATCAATAATAATCATCCACTGATCTAGAGTGTATCTTAGCCTTCCCTGTAGCCCCTGCACCCAAAAAACAGTGCTTCCTGTTAAAACTAGTTTACTTCCTAAATACTACATTGTGTGCTCACAAAATGTTTATTGTAGACCCCTCAATTTTTTTGTCTAGCCCAACTCAACCCCCTAACCAGAAAGAGACTGGTACTACCAATTTGGATAGTTCAAGTTGCTAAAAATATTTTAAGGTTTACACAAGTTTTATTTTTCATGAGATTGGCAGATTGTTTTTACTTAACTACCTCGACAGACATCCTTTACTATGCATGTCACAAGGTTTTAGTGACTTACATACCAAATTTTATTAATTTACTTTTTTGTTTGTTATACCAATTAGTATAGCATAAAATCTTAGTTAATAATCCATATTTTAATAG